CTTTCGTGCAAGCTTTAGAAATTGTTGGGATGTTTTCTGCTCTGTCTGCGTGGAATTCAGCTGGGTTACGGAGGAAAGGAATTTCGTGGGCCTGCTCGTAAAGTCAGATCTATTTAAAAAAATAAATTAAATTTAAAAAGAAACAACAACCTGGCTTTGTCTTCAGACAGCTCCTTGGTCTCCAGCTCCATGAATTCCCATGAGAGCACATAGTGAGTGAGAGAGATCTCTGTTTTGCCCATGCCATGGAGAGTGGGGATGGAGGAAGGAGGACGATGATGCCCTGGTCCCACACCTGGCATCCCTTGGGCTTGGCCTTGCAGGGGAACACCCAGGTGCTCCCCAGAGCACACTCAGGTCTCCATCCCATTCTGGCAGCCCAGCAGAATTTAAGAATTCAACTCCTTTGGAGGGCCAGGCTGCAGAAAGAGCCGTTAGCACAGCAGATGGCCAGGAACAAAAGAATTGCAGTAACTCGATGTACTTTTCACTGCTCAGACTCCCTGACTTTTTGTGCTCGTGCACCTCCCCAGGGAAAGGAGACATTAATTTTCAGCTCCATAACTTTTTCCCTCTGTCAGTGCTGTCATGCTGGAGCTTAAGATATGTCAGAATGTGTTGGACACTTTTCCAATTAAAAAACCAAATTCCTTTAGTCTGTATTTGGCTTACTTAGGAGTTTTATATGTGTGTTTTTACCTAAAAACCTGACTGGGGCGTTGCTTTCCTGCTTGGTTCTCATCCCAGGGAGTGTGGGAAGCCCTGGGGGCTCAGAGTGTGATGCTGCTCATGCCTGGGCTCCTGGACAGGGAGGATGAGCTGCTGGCTCTGCAGCCCCACAGGGATGGGGCTTTGGGAGGGGTGTTGGCCGGGGGAGTGCTGGAATGTTCTCTGCTCAGTGCTGCCATGGGAGCCTCAGGTGGTGGAGCCATCCCCACAGGGAGATCCCCAGGTTCATGTGAAGTTTTTTTTTTGGGGATTGATTTGAGCACAAATGGAGTGGCCCCAGCCTGTCCTCCCTGCTTTGGCAATCTCCTCCAGCCCGTGAGGACAGGAGATGTGTGAGTGGGCAGGAGTTGGAGATAACACCTCTTAATCCCTCCTGGTGCTGCAGCAGGAAATGCTGCTGCTGGCTGATAATTAGAAAGTGAACAGGCTGTGGAAGAGATGATGTTGGCATCCCTAAATCTCTGTCCTGGGCTTGGGGGAACATCACTAATGATGTGGATTAGGGAGGCAGAGAGAGACCTGGGCTCGGTGAGGATGATATGTAGGGCAAACACCGTGTGCTGAGATCCTGAGGCTCATCCAGGCAGGCAGCTCTGTTCTCCTGGGACACACTGCTGGGCTCTGGAGCTTTGGAAGCTCCACTGGGGGGTTCTGAAGAGGCAGCTGATGCAGCCAAGGGATCAGCAAGGTCAAAATGCACTTTGCAGTGAGATTTAGGTGCAGATGGAGCAGAGCTACCCATGTGCTGTCTCCTGAGGGTGGGAAGCAGCTGAGAAAATGACCCTGCAGGAAGGCTGGGCTGCATCCAGCTGTAGGTGCTGAGCTCAAGTGGGGCACAAATGTGTTTTTAAATCCCTCCACCTCACATGACTTCTCTGTGAGTATCTCAAGCTGGGTCAGTAATGCAAAATAAGCAGGTGGAGATGGGCTGGGGCAGGTCCCAGTGTGTCCTGGACCACACTTGGGGTGTAATTTTTTTCCTGTGGGCCAGATGTTGGTGTGTCTGAAGGCAAGGACATCACATTTACCTGGAGACTTCTTGCTCTTCAAGGCCTCAGTAGGCAGTTGGCTTATCCTTTTCCTTCCTCTCTTTCTTGCATGTTTTTAAAGTCACCGCTTAATAGTGAATAGCAGGCTTGCTCCGTTAGCTGTGTTGGGAATTTTTATTCCTAAGCATGTAGAAGAAACCCACCCCAAAGTCTGGCCTTGCTCTTTGACAACCTCCTCAGTGATAATTGTTTTCTTCAGTGCCAGCACCTCCTCTTGCTGCAGGGAGGTTTGTGCAACCTCTGCCCCCCTCACACCCACCCTTGTTATCATATAAATCACAAAACAAGGCCAGGGATAAACAGGAGCTGCAGTAGCTGTTAGCCATGTGTAAAAACAAATCACATGGAAACAGTATAATTACTGAGAAAATATCAACTTGAGTAATGCAGTAATTGTTTTCTTCCCTCCAGCAGATTTATTCCACCTCTCCTGGCTCTTGCTGGTTGGGAAGTCTGTGACTTCACGTTAATAAGGAGAATTTCACATTTCACACTGCACTTGCTCAGGGTATGACACTGTCTAGAGCAGGGGAATATATTTTGAGGGTTTCTTGAGAGCTGTAGGAAGCAGAGCACTGGTTGAAAATCTCTGACCATTGGGGTCTTCCCCGTGCTCTGAGCAGACTCTGGTCTTTGCACACCTCTTTTCAAGCTACTTTTGTGATTTATAAGGGCTTCTTTATGCCTTGCATAAATCCATGAGCTCTGCTTTTTGGATGTCAGCACTGCACAGACGAGATTTTTTTGTTTTTTGCCTTTAGTTTTGGTTTTTCATTCTTTTTGCTGCTTGTCATTTTGTTGATTTCGAGAGGTGCTTGTGACATGACAGTGCCCAGTATGTGAGGACCAAGGACATTGCCTCTCTCTATTGCTGTAATCATCTCCTAATACCAGATGATGATGATGTTAATGTTTGTGCTGTGACTTGCAGCTATTCCCCTTACTCAGCTTTGCTGCTCTTTTGATTCAGATTCTGCAAGGTAAAAAGATAAAAATGTATCAGGACCCAGGTTCCCAAGGTGTTTTGTTCCAAGTAGGAGTTTACAGATGCCCTGTCCTGCACGTTGGCAGACAAGAGAAAGTATCATTTGTTTCATGTGCACAGTGAGGAGCCTTTTTCTCCTGCATTTTTGGCAGGTAGCTTCCTTTCCTTTAGAAAAACCTACCCACTGCCACTTCCCCTTCCTGTGCCTTAATCTGAACAAGATTTCATGAACAGCTAATTTATCTTTTGCTTCTTGTGGTTGTCCTGCTCCTCTTGACTTGACAAAAAACCAAAACCACAAAAAAACCCCAGTTGTGGAGAAGACAAAGCCTTCCCATGTCAGCAGACTGACCATTTTTGATGTCTAATGCTGGGAAAGTAAAACAAGATGGGATCTTCTCTTCAGGATTCTCCAGAAAGCTCTCATGTCCTTCTAGCTTCTCTTCTGAATGGATGCTGGATCCAACCAGCTTAGCCTTTGTGGTGCCTTTGTGCTCCTGGGGTGGATGGGCTGAGGCAGGACAGTGAGAGCACAGAGCAATGTTGGCTTTCTAAGGGCTGCAGTGATGAAGGTGGCAGAGTTGTGTGAGCTCCTTGCCCTGTTTGCCTCCCCCATCCCTCCCTCCCCTCCCAGCAGCTGCCCTGTGCTGCCTGCCCAGCCTGGCACTGGTTTAGGGTTACCAGTGGAGCCACTGCTCCTCTTCTCCCCCTCCAGGAAAAGAAATCCATCCACTCACTAAGCAAATGAATAGATAAACTTTTAATTAAGGCTCTGGGTGGCTGCCAGAGAGGAGTGTCCTGGGTCAGGGTAGGCTGGTGGTGTGCTGTGATCCCATCTGTGTGACCAGTGGCTGTTAAACACCTGTCTCATCCCAGGTGTGCTCACCTGTGGTGGGCAGGCTCCTCCAGGCAGCTTGGATAGCAGAACTGTGCTGCTTTGCTGGGAGCTGCAGAGGGAAGGGTGAGGCAGGAGAGGCACTGTGGCTGTGGATGCTCTGCCATACCTGAGGCACTGTGCCTGTGCATGCTCTGCCATACCTGAGGCACTGTGGCTCTGGATGCTCTGCCATACCTGACCCAGGAGAGGCACTGTGCCTGTGCATGCTCTGCCATACCTGAGGCACTGTGGCTGTGGATGCTCTGCCATACCTGAGGCACTGTGGCTGTGCATGCTCCTGCCATACCTGAGGCACTGTGGCTGTGCATGCTCTGCCATACCTGAGGCACTGTGGCTCTGGATGCTCTGCCATACCTGAGGCACTGTGGCTGTGCATGCTCTGCCATACCTGAGGCACTGTGGCTGTGCATGCTCTGCCATCCCTGAGGCACTGTGGCTCTGGATGCTCTGCCATACCTGAGGCACTGTGCCTGTGGATGCTCTGCCATACCTGAGGCCCTGTGGCTGTGGATGCTATGCCATACCAGCCACTTGGGCTCAGCAAAGCTGTTGCACAGCTAGGGGCAAAGCTGGATGTTTCAGTGTCTTTTCCCTCAGCCCTGGGTCATTATTGCTGCTCCCTGCCATGGCCATGGAGGTTTTGCTGATCTCTCCAGTCTCTCTGACTTGAAGGGTCTTGTTGAGCTGAGAGCCTCTTCACCTGGAATTTGAAAAATGTCAGTTTGGTCTGTTTTTATCTTGACTCACCTCTCCCCTTTTTCTCCATATTTGGATGGATGTATTCAACATGCAACACTCACAGTATCCCCAGGGTTTGGGAAGAGATGGAGAAAGATAGCCATGAAGGAGCTAGGAGCCTTCTTTCCTCCCAAGGGCTGCCCTCATAGCCCCTTCTCCTTCAGCATGGTTCATGCTGCTCTTGTCTCTGTGCCACAAGGAGGATGTGATTGTGGTGTCTCATTTTTGCCTTGAGAGAAGGTGTAGCCTTGAGCCCTCTGAAGGGACAGTGATGCTGGGAGCTCCTGAATATGGATGGTTTATTGATCCTGTAAGAACGTGAGCAGCACTCAAGGTTAGTGTGAGCCTCTGAGGCTTTGTCAGGAGGAAGAGCTGCTGTCGTGTCCCTGGGAGAATAACCTGGTTCTCTTTGGAACTGCTGGAGGTGGTGGAGCCCTGTGGTGATGTGATCTGACAGCTGGTACTCCCTCGTCTAGCAGGTTTTTTAGAGGGTTCTGTGCATCTCAGGAGGCTGGGAATGGGCCAGGGAGCTGTGGGAGGATGAGAGAAGGATCCAGAGTCTCCTGGGAGAGAGCTGATCTGGTTGTTTTACCCTTGCCAGGAGCGTGGCCTGCCTGGCAAGCTGGAGCCCGTGTCCCCCGTGAGCCCTGCCCACGGCGAGGCCGAGCTGGAGCTGCTGCCAGCCCGGCTCTCCAAGGAGGAGCTGATCCAGAACATGGACCGCGTGGACCGCGAGATCACCATGGTGGAGCAGCAGATCTCCAAGCTGAAGAAGAAGCAGGTAGGAGGCTGTGGTCTGGAGGGGAACACGTGTCCTCGCTTCTGCATGCTGCCACAGGCCCTGTCCTTGCCCCTGCGTGGCCACAGGAGGGGAAGTGGCAGTGCCAGCGCACAGGATCGTCTGTGTCCCTGCTGTGACACGGCTGGTGGCTGCTGTGCCTGCAGTCTGGAGCTGCTGGTCACACAATGCTTTGGAAACCCAGCTCGTAGCTCTTTGCATGTCAGAGAACCTAAAAGAGAGAAAAATGTGTCCTCAGTGCCTTGGCAGTGAATGTGCAAGTGGTGAAGAGCAGAGCTGGAAGCACAGCCTGGCTTGTCCGAGTCATCTGGACAGCCCAGTGCAGCACAGAGTCCTTTATTTCTCCTTTCCAGCAATTGTGTCTCCCCAGTGCTGCTGTTGCTGCCAGTATTCAGTACTGGGCTGTTTAAACATTGCTCTAATGACCAAATGGCCCTTCCAGTGCATCCAGTCCCCTTCCTCTGGGGCTTGCCAGCTCTGCAGCCTTGAGCAGCAGCTGATCCAGCTTCAGTCAGGGCTGTGCTTGAGCAGGGATTTGAATCTGATCTTCCTAGCCTGCACAGGAGCCCTCCCCAGCAAAAGGATGGCCCACTCAGTGTTGGCCTGTACATAATTACCATAAACCCATTAAGAGATTAATATGACAAAACCTTCAGGGACATCTGCGAAAAAACCACAGACTTAAAGGCTTTCACTTTTTAAAGCAAATCACCGCCTCTTCTTTTTCTGGCTGTTTTATTTTCTTTGCTTGGGATGAGTTTCTGAACTCCCTGATGGCTGCTAGTCCCAAACTGCCCAAGAGAAATGACCTTTCCCAAGGGGTTGTAGCTGCATTGGAATTTGGGAATGGAGCAGAACCTCTACTTGTGCTGTTTGTTGAAGCTCCTTAGAATGCACATGCACTTGCTCTTCCCCATCAGATCTGTATTTTCCCATCCCAAACACAGTTCCTTTCTGTCCTGCAAGACAAAGCAGGAATATTTTCATTTTGTTTTCAAACAATATGGTTTAATTAATGCCAAGGACCCTTTTTTGGCATGTGTTGCTGCAGAGGTGTCTGAGCAGAAGCAGCTGTGCTGGGTGTGTGAGGCAGAGCCCTGTGTGCCAGCTCCATGGGGCCCAGAGGAACATCTGGAGCCATGGAAACCACAGAGGTTCCTCTTGCTGGTTTTGGGGTGAAGGCAGCCCTTTGTCTGTCCCACCTGGAGAGGACACCTGGCTGCTGGTCCATGTGTTGTACTCACATTTGAGGAAAGCGATGCCCACCACAGTAATTTCCTGCTCTGGAAAAAGGCTGTCCCAGTGGGCAGGGCAGGGAGGGTCCCTGTCATGGCAGCTGGGAGGAGTGACAGCTCTGATGATCCACTGCCTGACTTCTCAGGGATGCTGAGGAGCTGCTGCTGGTGCTGACAGGAGCAGCATATGCTCCTCACCCTTAAAATCAAACTGTCTTTCTGTGAGGAAATGGGGTTTTTATTGTTGGCAGCTCAGTTGCTTTATTTCTTCCCTAGGAACAAATTTTATGATTCTTCCTGCCCACAAAAAATGCTCTGTTAAATGGGGAAGAAGGTGAAAGTGGCTGTTGGCAGTAAAAGTGTCCCCTCCCTTCCTTTTATTCTATTTTTTTTTTTTTAATTTTTGGCACATGGTGGCAGAGTTATATGGTAGCAAAACTGACCCCCCCCACTATGGCCTCCTTCCCCATCCCAGTCCTCCAGCAGAGCTAGCACATCTGGGAAGAAGTGATTTTGGAGCAGGGGGTCCTGTCTGAGATGCTCCAGGAACGTTTTGTGCATCTGTGCATCTGAGCTGTCAGTGCAGGAGCACGAGTGAGAGAAAGCAGCGAGCCTGGAACAGAAACTGCTCCTGCAGGAGCGTCAGTGGAGCAGGGGAGAAATCACATGCAGCCAGAATATCCTAATGCCTTTCCCCTCTGTCTTTGGGAGGCCTTCTCAGGGTAATTAAACACACTTGTATGGAAAGGCTGTGCAAGGAAAAAAAAATAATAAAAATCCCAACCAACCACAATCCACCATCTCTCTCTTTCTGGTTGTTCCAAAAATGGCAGGGAAGGCTCTGCCTGGACTTTGCAAGAAGCAAAGCTGAGAAACCTTCCCCAAACCCTGCACACCCCTGGCAGGAGGCCACCTCCGTCAGCCTTCCCCCGCTCATTCATGCGCCATATGCGCTCAAATCTCTCCGAGTCCTCTCTCCCCCTCTTCCTGACGGGAAGGATAATCCTTATGCATTTATTCCTGGCAGCAGCACCGGGATCTGAAGGAGAAATAAACTGCTGGGCTGCTCTCTGCAGCGGCGCCTGAGCCTCCCTGGGCGCCGAGCTCAGCCAAGGGCTCTCCGGGAGTACAACACTCCCACCTGGTGATGGAGGTGGAGCTGCTGGCTGGAAGAGCTCCAGGCTTTCCCCTTCCATCGGGCTGAGTTTCCTCCGTGCTCTCTTTGAAGGTGGTTTTCAGAGCTGTCCTGTGGCTGGAATGCTCTGCTCTGCCCGGGCAGGTGAAGCATCCCAGCGCCCGAGTGAGGGCAGACACCAACCTTCATCAGGCAGGTGTCTGCAGCATGGAGCTGGTACCTGCAGGGATGGGGCCTTCCTGAAGTATCACCCACCTTCCCACCAGTGCTGCAGCCTGCAGTGTCCCTCTGGAGCACATGGTCCAGCCAAAGGGTCTCTCCTGGAGGGGGCACCTCCTCCACTTGGGAATGGGTTGCCCTGTGGGTGCTGTGGCTAATGGTGGCACCTTGCATCCCTCTCCCTTTGGGGAGAGGAGGGAGGTCTTGGGCAGCCACTGCTGGGTGAGGGAGGCTGTGTGCAGCTGTCAGGACTCATCTCCCATCCCGCTCTCTCCCTGTAAAGGTCACAGTCCCAGCCTGGCTTTTGTGGCAGACCTTTAAGAAATCCATTTTGTCCCTGTCTGGGAACCCTGACCTATTTTTCTTTGCCATTTCCCACGGCTCCCAGGAGGAGCTGTGGAGGCTGCAGTCAGGTGTGCTGCCTCCAGCCCCTCCTCACATCCTCACCCCAGCATCTGGCCCTTTAACATCCATGCAGTGCTACACCACAGCAAGTAGGGTTGAATTCTCTACTGTATTTCAGCTATAATTAGATTTGTATTTTTTCTTCTAATGAGCTGTTTTTAATGAGCCTCCACTTAGTGGCAAACTTTCGTTTCCTGATAGGCCGTCAAACCCTCTCCTCTGAAATCCCTTGCTGCACACCCGACCACTTGGCAGAATTTTTGTGGGTTTCCAGAATGATGTAGCCAAGTTTTGGATGCTTTGACTTTTTTTTTTTTTTTAACACAAATATTTTCCCCAAGAGAAGTAGATGTATCTGATCCTTTTTGCTGGCTTGTTCTTTGGAGATTTTGGAGTTTATCACATGGGAATTAGCATGTGTGATAGGGTGCCTTAGGAGGACACCAGGGAAGAGCTGGCAGGTCCTGGAAGTGCTGCTTCTGTGCCAAATACAGCTTTGCAGCCCATGGTTTCAGCAGTGGCTCCTCGGGGAGCTCTTGTCCCCTGTGCTGTGGTTTGGTGTGTCCCCTGTGCTGCCTGAGGTGTGGCCATGGTTGGGAGCAGCAGAGGGCTGTTCCTGTGGTTGGAGCCTTCAGAGTGCCACCGTGGTGTGGCTGCTTGCAGGCAGGAAGGGACAGATCCCTGCAATGCTGGGAAGGGTTCATCCCCCTCCAGGCTGCAGATGGTTCAAGCTGGGCAGTTCCTGGCTGCTCTCACTCATGACTGGAGTAACTCTAAAGCCATTGGTGATGCCAATTTTTGGGACACAGGCTGTCCTGCACTGCCAGAGCCTGCTCCCCACTCTGGCTGGCAGCAGCAGCCTTTTTGGCTGTATCTTGGTGTTCCCTATACTGCTGCTTCTCCCTCTATGGGGAGAGGTGTCTACCTGTGGGGAGGTGGTGTCCACAGCATGGGGAGCTTCATCCACTGAAACACAATTTTAGGAGTGTGAGTTTTCTCAGCCAATCCATTCAACCTGTCTGGGTGCTTAAGTGCTTTCTTGGGCTCATCCCAAGTGTATCCTCCTGCCCTGGTGTGCTAAAGGTGTCATCAGCAGGAGCAGAGGTGATGGGGAGGAGGAAGAGATGCTCACCTGCTTCCCAGGCCACAGCCACCAGCGTCTCTGGGAAATCACTGCTGTGCTCTGGTGCAAGCCAAGTCCCAGCTGCATTTTCTTCCTAGTATGAGACTCGCTCGATTTTCCTCATGCTTCAGCAGGGGATGCTTTAGCTGCAGGGAAGAAACAACAGCAAAGATTTGGAGATTGAGAGCCTAGCAGGGAAAACACCCTCAGTGTTTTTGACAGGCGCTCCCTCTCCCGTGCCTGTGCTGCCCCGCAGCTGCCGCGCACGGCTGCGCTCTCCCTCCGCAGCTCTCCCTCCTCACAGGCTGGCCCCAGGAGGAGCCTGGAGCAATCTGGGATTTCCTCTTTCTGCTGAGCAGTTCCTCAAACTTACGGGAAGGGCTGGGATGTCTCCTCCCACCTCACGGGTTGCAGGTGGAATGTCAGGTTTGGCTGCTGACCAGGTGATATCGCAAAGCGCAGGGGTGGCTGGTGCACGAGTCATTTAATGGAGCACAGTCATCCCAAGGCATGTCCTCTGACCACTCCATTGGAAGGTGAAGCTGAGGGTGGAGAGCAGCCTTGCTCATCACCTCAGCCCTGGCTCCTCCACCTCTCCCTGCACGCAGCAGCAGCTCCAGAGGCAGGTAGCAGCAAGGAGCCGGGCTGGAGCTGTGGTTTCATTTAAGTGTTCCCAGTTAAAATCGTTATTTCTAGCCTCGGGCCCGTTCCAGGAGGCTCCTTTGAGGCAGGTCCTCATCCTCCATACCCCAAGCACGCCGAGCCACGAGCACAGGGCCGGTGCCTGGGGCAGGCAGCGCTGCGCCTGCGTGGCCAGGGCTGCTCTGAGCTCTCCTCCCTCTCCCCTGCCTCCCCAGCCCCTGGCTGGCTGGAACTCTCCTGCCATGGCGCTTTCTGCCTCGCTCAGGGCACCACAGAGAGTCTCGTGTGGACAGGGACGGCTGCTGCGTTCCTTGCTGTGACTCACCCTCCTCCTCCCCCCTCTCCTTCCACAGCAACAGTTGGAGGAAGAAGCAGCCAAACCACCAGAGCCTGAAAAACCCATCTCTCCCCCTCCTATTGAGTCCAAACATCGCAGCTTGGTGCAGATCATCTACGACGAGAACAGGGTGAGTCTGGAGGTGGTGGAGGGACGAACGTGAGATTGTGCCATGTCACTGTGGCCAGGGATGGGGGAGGTTGGTGAGGATCAGGTGGGGGGTTTTCCTGGATGTTACCTTTGGGCAGGATGGATGGAGCCCTGTTAGGATGGTGTGGGAGTGGGATGGATGGAGCCCTGTCAGGATGGTGTCAGGATGGTGCAGATGAGCACTAATGTCTGCTGAAGAATCTGCCTGGGGGGGTTTCCTGTGATCAGCCTTAGAGATGCTTCAGACTCCTCTCTGTTAAACAGTTTGCTTCATCCTCTCCTTTGGGAGTGAACCAGCTTGAAAGCTTCCTCAAGGGTTGGGCTTTGACGTGGTGGGTGGGCTGCATGGATGGAGGGTGACATCTGTGCTGCTCTAATACTGGCAGGCCAGCTGTGAGCTCTCCTGGCTGTCCCTAAGCCCCCCAGGCTGGAGCAGCAAGGATGTGGATGCAGCCATGGCTGGATTTGTGGATATTTGATGCTGTAAATAGCATTAGCAAAGGTCAGGCTGGCATCCCTGGCTCTGGATCTCTGCCTTGACCGCTCATTTATCAGCCCTTGCCTGTAGTAGCAGCCCGAGGAGGGATGAATTTTGCTGTGTGCATCGGAGCGATGCTCAGAAATTGGGCCCTTTGGTAGATAATCAAGCATATTCATTTTCATTTAGGTGTTGGATAAAAAGGATGATTTTGCATAAAAGGAAAACTACCAGTCGCTAATTATTTTGAATTGCGAGGCCTGCGATTTCACTGGGAGCTGCAGAAATCCAGGTGCCTGACTCCTAAAAAGAAAAAAAAAAATCGCCTACCCTGCGCTCCCAGGCAGTGCAATTTTCCTGGTTTTCCTTTTTCCATCTGCTGTTCTCCCTGAGCAGTAGGAAAGCCAGAGCTGGCACGGTCTGTTGTGCGAGTGGGTGAAGGCTGAGGTCGATGTGTTTGAAGCATTAGCAAGCACCAGCTGGTGATGGCTGCACAGCCCTGGGCTTTGGGGGCAGTGCCGAGTGTTCTCAAAGCCATTCTCACCACCAAGGGCCCTCTCTGGGGGTCCTGGGCTAGATGTCTTGTGCCTCCTGTGCAAGGGGGAGGCTCAAAAAAAGTGAGCTCTCAAATGTTTCTATTCCTGTTCACTTGAGCCCCATCCTCCTTGGACGCTCTTGTGTAGCTGAACCACATTACAAGGAGAAGAAATGAGTGATGGTGGTGAGGCAGGAGGGAAAGGTGCTCTTCAGCCCTCACATCCCCAGCAGCCTGAACTGTGGCAGTCCCCATTAGCTGGAGCTCAGGGCTGGGTGTCCTGCCAACCCCCTGTCCTGCTCTGTCACCTCTTGTCTCTGCCCCTGCCTGCAGAAGGGTGACACATTCCCTCCCACCACCTTCTCACAGCAGACAGGCTCTGCTCTCCACGCCTCACCACCACTCAGGGTGGTCCCTTGGCATTTCTGCCCTGTCCCTTGGGTGATGGCAGAGACTGTGCAGGGCAGGCATGGAGTTCTGCATTTATCCTGGAGAATCCATGGCCATAACACCTGGGACACTGTCACACACAGTGCTCAGAGCTGGTGTGTCCCTTTGTCAGTATGAGGGGGATCTCAGCCAGCTTGGTGCCAGGGGTTTCACCATGAGCCTTTGTGATGGGTGCACTCATTCCAGGTGGGTGTCCAGCAAGCAAAGGTCACGTTGGACACCAGATGTTTGTTTAAATTCAAATCTGGCTCTGTGTTCATGTCTGAATTCTGCCAGGGATGAGCAAACAGTGATTGTTCCCTGTTCTTGTACAGTTCCCTTGCGTGCCGTGTGTGAGGAGCCCATCTGTGGGCAGGAGACTCCAACCAAGAACCTTCCCTTTGGCTCGACAGAAACCAGAGCAGGCTGCAGGCAGGTTCCTCCTTTGGAGAGGACAGGATCTGTCTGTGGGCCACAGAGCACTGGCAGCATCCCTGCCAGCTGGGATGGCTGAGGGTGGAAGGAGCCTTTCCTGCACCACAGCAGGGAGAGGCTGAGCTGGGGCTGCAGGGGAAAGGAGTCAGAGCTCCAGTGACAAGGGTGGGAATCAGGATGTAATTGCCCTTCTAAAGAACATTCAGGGGCTCAGCTTTCAGCCTCTCTGAATGTTTGGGGTGCATTTTAGTGGTGATTGCTCTGCCTTTGGGGCCAGGAGGAGGAAAGCTGGAAGAGGAAGGGTCTTGGGATTGTAGTCAGTTGAGATTGTGGTGGAAAAGAGTGGCGGGTGGTCAGTGATAGGGTGGGTTTGATGGCAGCAGATCCTCCAGGTGTTTCCATCTCTCTGTGAATGTGGGAGAGGCTCAGACACTCCTGTGCTGACCTGCAGCTTTGCAATTAATTGCAAGGTGAGTTGGCAGCAGCAAAGGACTGCGAGCTGGATAGAAATGTATTGATTTAGAGTGATGAAGGTCACTGAGCCAAATTTTAAGCTTTTCTGCCTCTTCTGTGCCGTGGAAAAGCAGTGAAGTTGATGCCTGGAGGTCTACTTGTGGGAAAAGCGTCGGTAATGGCTGAGCCAGGGCTCCAGCCCATGCACAAAGGGAAGGAAAGCCAGATTTACTCGCATCGCTTGGCTTGTGGCTTGCTTGAGGGAGGCAGTGCACGCTAAGAAATGCAAATAAAAAGAGGATATTCAGGCCTCAGGAGGAGGCGAGAAAGGAAAGCACCCCAGAAGTGCTGGCAAAGCCTGAAACGATCTTTAAAGAGCAACGCTGTGGAAGGGGCAGCAAGCCAGCCCTTGTGCCAATCCCCGAGCAGGTGGGAGGCAGCAGCTTGGTGCAGGGGCTTCTGCTGGCTCTGGCTGGGCTCTGTGTGAAGCTGGGCTCTGTGCTCCCCCGGGCACGGGCGCTGCCCTGCCCGTTCCCACCGCGCCTGCCAGCCCCTGCCGGAGCCGCACACTGCCCGCAGTCATAGCCCAACAAAGGAGGGACCAGCACGGGCCATGGGAGAGGAGGGGTTACCTGAGGACACGGCAGCTAGAAAAGCCGGAAAATCAAGTTAGCCAGCCATTCTGTGACCTACTTTCCTTTGGCGATAGCTGTGGCTTTGCAGGCGTGAATGGTTTCTAATTTTAGCTTATGGTTCATCAGGGAAGTCTATATATTTTTCTCACCACTGAGCTGGGTATGGATGAGGGGTTGGGATGAGGGTGGCGCTGGGCTGGATCCCATTTTCTCCAAATTCAGGTTTTCTGATGCTAAATGCCCATCATGCTGCTGTTCCCCCTTGTGACCTACTTAATGCGTATGATTTGAAAAGTTCCTCGGTGTCAGAGAGGATAATTATGGAAAATGTGACCTGCAATCCCCTCTTGCCACACTCTGCTGGACATGTAATTGATTTCCAGAAAAAAAAAGGTGACTGCACAAATTCTGCTGGGGAAGAAGAGTGGAGAGAAGCTGCTCTTGACTGCAGTCAAATCCTGGACTATGAGGCTGTGGTTGCATTTGAGAAGTTTTTAGGGGACTTGGATTGTAGAGGAACAGTTGATGTTCAAGACCCAGGTGCCTTCTCCCCTGCTGTGTGCTGACCAAAGCCATTTTCTCTTGTGTCCAAAGATGGGCTGTGAAGTTGCACCCAAAAAATGTACTTTTTGGGAAATCTTTGCAGTATAAAACAGAAAAACACACATTTGTGTATCTGAGCCAAAATTTCAGCTGTAAGTGTCAACTGTACCATTTCTGAAAGGATTATGAGAAAGGGAGTTAATGTTTTTGGTACTGTCTGTGGACTAACCTGAGAACAGACAGTGGGCAGCATTGACAGAAGCATTTGAGTCATATTTTCAAAAGTGTCTTCAGTCCTTGAAGAAACAAAATTGTGTTTGAAAACAGTTATGGGGGCTAAAATTGCCAAGAGCCTTTGAAAAGTGCCATGGGAAGCTCAGGGGACAGTTTTGGCTGCAGGGTGCTCAGGGGCACCTCTAGGAGCTGGATGCTGGTAGGGTGGCACAGAACTACCTGGAAAAATCAGGTTGGGATGGATGCCTTGGTTAATCCAGAGGCTGACAGTGATGGAGACATTGGGGATCTCCTAAATTAAACTCTGTGAGTGATTTTAGTGTCTCCCCTGTGGAAGAAAGCTGATCTCTGCTGAGTCTGGCACCTCAGAGGGGTGACTGTGTGACACAGCCTCCTTGAGGACTTTAATTTGCAGCTCTGGGATGTGTTATTGTATCAACAGAATTTACCTTTCTTCCACCTCAAATCCCCACAACCAGGACAGATCATCTGTGTGTATTTTTAGCTGTAGCTTTATTCCACTGGGCATTCACGGGATTCCTTGCACCTGCCTTCCCTTGAAATCAATTGAACATACCTGGGCTTGAAGATGTTTTTGTGCTTTAAATGGAAATTTCCAAGTCCCTTGCTGAGCCCAGGGAGGAGAGCAGCATTGCTCTGTGCCTTTCCTGGGATACAGGGTTGGCAATGTGTCCTGGAGGGAGCTGCTCCCCAACAGCCCACCATGGCTTGGCTGGGTGAATCCTCCTCCAAGTCACCTGTGCATCCCAAAAATTCCTCCTTGTGTGCACAGGAGGTACCTGTGCCATCTCTCCGACCATTGTGGTGATGTGGAGCCCACAGGTGCCTGTGTCCAGCCAGATGAGGGTGGTTGGAGGTCCCTGCCAGCAGGGACTGCTGCCCAGAGGCCAGCAGACAAAGCAGCTCACGTCAGCTTCCTCTGAAACATTGCTCTCATTTATCGCGGGCGGAGAGGTCGCGTCGGGACATGGCGTGACATCGTCCTCTGCCACCGCGCAGGGAGGGGACACCTCGTGCTGTGACCCACCACAGCAGGACCAGTCTCCCCATGCCACCCCTTGTTTGGGTGCCAGCAGCCACGGGTGCCCATCCCTGCCCTGCTGTCAGCCCTGGGAAAAACTGGGCTTGATGCAGTGCAGGCAGCAGGAGCAGCGTCTGTCTTGCTCTTGAGATCGAGCTGGTGGAAATCAATAAGATTAAATTTTAATTCGTTTTCT